TTTTAACAAGTTTCATTTTTATGGATGTCGTTCATGGTTGACAATGAATAGCGTTAGGAAATACAGAACATACTGCGGATGGACAATGAGCTGAATGCACGGTGTGGCGCTATAACTCCATAACTTTCCCCTGTGGAATCAATCAAGTACAATAAAACCCCTTGATGCCTAAATTTACATACTAAAAAAATAAATATTCATGTTTATTTTTGCCTTCAAGCAGATGCTACATTTAGCGTAGATAGTTCATTTTATTCTGGCACGCAGAATAGATAGAACATTAGGCTTGGTAAAAAATAGTGACAGGCAGTAATGTTTTATAAGGAAGGAATGTGTGCGTGTTATTAATATTTTATATTTTTGTGTTAGTGTACACTGCGCCCTAAGCATCCTGTTAGTTTAACTTTCACAAAAAAGTTGAGTAGCTTTTAAGTGTACGGCGACGCTGGCAGGAGCATGAATGATGAACATACTTGGCATGCAAAGCACAAAATGTTAACGGTAGCCGAGGCGATTGCTATTGACCCGGAAGTGGAATTCCCTCACAAATAATTTACGTTATTTAGAGATGTTTTTGCAAAACTCATTGTGCTACAACGCAATGAGTCTTGCAATATAACGCAATCGTTTTTACAGATTTTGTTTTCTTGTAACCATTGGCCATTCAATTATCTTGAGATTCATGCTTCATTGTCACAGTTTTTTTTTTTTTTTTTTAAACTTAGTGGCTGTTGTGGTTTTGTACTGCATGCTTCCCTTGATGGAAATGGTGAAGTAAAGTCAGTCAAAATCATGACTGTTATGAATGAATGTCGATGTTTGTGATTTTGTTTTCATGACTGTACTATTGAAGGTGCTTAAAGGTCAAGTGTTATGTAAACTTGACCAACTATCTTTTGAGTAATACTAACGGCTAAAACCATTTCAATAATCTTTTTTTTTTTTTTTTTTTTTTAAACGCAAGCCACACATGTTCATAATTATCGTAGACCCATAACAACGAAAATGCTTTTGTTCGGCAATCTTCGGCAAGTGATGCCCATGAAATGCCGAGTCGCCAGTCAGCTTTTGCCCTGCATTGTTGATTGTCCCGTCAACTGCTCTGTGCCAAATTGTCTGCCTCCTGTCGACGATGCAATTTCTATTTCTGCTCTTAACCGGGGAGCTAAAATGCTCCCATGCTGCTGACCTAAGCGAGACTGTAGAGTCCGTAATTTCAGCGTTAGTAGTCGGATTAGCCAGTTTGGTCCTCTCCTCCAGTCTGTTTCGCATACTTGAACAGAATTTGCATTCGCGGTTTACGCACTTTTTCTCACGCCGTTCAGATGACCTTCATGAGCAAAAGTAGTCACATGACATGTACTCACATGACATTCATAATAAGATCATAATCATGATCCTCATTACATGTTTGGTAACACTGAGTTAATATGGCTTTATCTTTAATGGCGGCACAAACTGTTGTGATTCCGCCATTTCAAACGCATCACCGGTTTATGTATGACAGTATCGCAGTTTTCGTTTTTGATACTGCCCTTTGCATACAGTACTTCTGCCATGTACACAATTCTTAAATCTCCACGTTGATCGAACATGACCGTGATAATTACTCTCGGGGCATTGATCCCAAATATATGCCCTCAAAAATAAAATGACCTGGAAGAATGAGAATATCCACAAGGTAGTTGAAATGAGTGTTTTTATGACACTCTCTCACAAACCAATCAGTGGCATTGTAGACCGAAAGACTGTCGTCGTGGAGGTAACGAAGACTGACAACCATGATAACAGGCAGCATTTTTCGCCTCCGGTCCTTTGATGCTGTGAAGCCTCTCTACCTCTGCTGGTGCATGGCAAGATACGATGGCGAATGCCATCGCCTACTGAATGTGCCAATTTCTGTCAGCTGGAGGGCTGAGACATTCTAGTGTGGCGTGCCGCAGTTTTCATTCACATATTTGACGTTATAGGCTACTTTTGGATGAAATGCTTTCCTTCCCAGCACAGCTTGTGTGCAGCAAATAAAATGTGAAAATTAACTGTCGAGGAAAACCCCGGTTTAAAAAGGCAGCATCTATTTATGTTTATTTCCCACCGCATGCCATTGGATTAATATCACGCGCTATATCACTTTCAAAACATGTAGTGAAATACATATTCATAAATATTTTAAGACCTGAGATTGAAGGAGGGTTATTGATGCTCTCTATCCACGTCATTTTGAAATCACCGGCAGTAACTCTTGCACACTGTGATGTAAAGTACAATGATGCTCAGTATTATTTGGCATTTTTCTTTTGGTGTTTTAAACTGGGAATGTAGCGCTTATTCCAGCGATTCACAAACTGTTTGTCGTGCACTGAAATACATGAGATTATGTATATCATCCTCCACTTTGAATGAATCATCCACCCTCCATCGTCAGAGTGTAACATTGGGACAACCCTGATACTTGATAATCTGACTTGTGGACAATGATCATGCAAGTGGAGTTCAAAGACAAAGTGGTTGGCGTTCACAAATTGACAAGAAGCCATGAAGAATAATTCAAGTGGAATCAGTGGAAAGAAATTGACCACAGATGAACAATTAGCAGCGCCTATGTAGCTGATTCCAGGTCAAATGCGCGTTGGTCGAACCTCACTCCTTGAAAGCTTTAAGAGGAGTGCTGGCCGCTGGGTGAACCGACGAGGCTTTTAGCTCATTGTGTAGCACACTCCACTCTCACCCTGGGCTACGGTGACCGCACAGAATGACCACGACACATTGGTGCCATGACCAACATCAGGAGGGAGGTATTCAACTTGAGCTATGCAAGTTAGTCCAGGCTCGCTCCTCGAAAGCCTTAGTTAAAAGTGGCAATGAGCGAGTCGTTGTTGAATGCCAGCATGGCTAAAAACAACCACTCACGACGAGATTTGTCTCCTGGGTTTACCTCAAAGCTGTCGGCCTGACATCACATGAACCCTCCAAGCCTCTTGGCGCCTGGCTCATAAAGAGGTAACAATCCGCTCATGTTGTTATTGTTCCTGCAAGTCGCGACTGCCCTCTGATCCAATAAATCATGTAACTAATTCCCATGTAATACCATTTGGTATCATATGCCATCACTTCTACTTGATGCACCGGTGAAGACACAACGGTAACACAATTAGTATGTCCTCATTATTTAGACAGTGCCGCGAAGGAAGTAAAACACCTGAGCGAGTGCTGATAAATTGTTATTTGCATATCTGCCAATGAGCCGAGTGGGACAAAGGGCAGCCAGTGAGGCGCGGCAAATCAAACGAAACAGGTTTTTTGCTAATTTAATGTCCTATTAAGAGCTTCATACGCCTCTATTACCCTGCAGATAACAGCAAACGTGAGAGGAGCACTGGCGGGCTACCTGCCGATTAGCGCTTGGCAGGATAGCGTAATTTAGTTTGAATTGGATTATGTAGCATTGATGCTTTTCTTAATAGAAAGATTTAGCACATGCTGACACCTCTCTTCCAGTGAGTCAGACTAAGTTAGCTAAGTGAAGGTGACATAGAATAAGGTCCTAAAGAGATAGTGGTGTCATGATACAGTTACAGGAACCTGAATAATAAATATTGGCTCGTGGTAGGCTTTTGAGTGTCTGTGAAAGTGGTAGCTGTGTTCTGCTCGCCTCCCTTGGGGGAAATGAGTCCTGTGTAAAGGTCCAGATGAAGAAAGATCCTTGTATACCTATGACTCCCAATCTTTGGAGTCAGGAAAACCACATCCCTAAGAGGGAAACCTGGGTTGACACGTTTCAAAGAGCAAAATGCAGCCAATACCTGCAACTTCTAATCATGATGAAATGCCTCAAAAAAAAAAAAAAAAAAAGCCGTGCTGGAAATCCACATCCAGAGCACCGTACTAGACTCACATGACACACCGCAACACGCTTACCATCACAACAAGCCCACCTCAGAATCCATCGCTGCCCCACTCCGTTACACTCGCTCTCATCTGGAAAACAGAAACTCCTAGCTCAGGAATCACACTCCTCACTGACTACAGCTCCACCTTTAATACTGCTACCCCACCCATAAACCACGACACTCAGCCTGAACCTCACCCTCAGTAACTGGCTGCTTGACTAACTGGCAGGCTGCAGTCTGTCAAGACTGGGAACAGGACTTTAGCCAGCACCAGCGCAAACATGTTAAGTCTCATCCTCGACCCAAAGACAACTTCATCCTCAGGTTTGCAGACGGCCCCACAGTCATCGGACTCATTTTGCAGCCTAGAGGATTGAGGTGACCACTGTGGTGTCAAGGTAGGAGGACCTTGACACAAGAATACCCAATAGCAGAAGTTATTGGGTATTCTTTGTCGCATGTCGATATACAAGCGTAGTTCTGGTGAATTTTTTTTCCTTCCCAAATTCCAGCTCGTTCACAACCCAAGTGAAGATTCAGCGATTGATCGAATGAAAATCCACACTTCTGTAAGCCACTTCAAGTACTTAAAAGGGTAACATAAGATGAGTTTGAAATTATAGTGAAGGATCATAGTTTGTGGTATAGTCACACTTGATACCACTTATTCACTAACCAAAGAGCTGACAAAATCAAACAAAATCAGAGCCATTGCACAGACATTGGCAGCAGCCAATACAAAGATTTCGAAATGTCCCGAGGCACTGTGGCCGACTGGTTAGCACATCGATCTCACAGTGTGCAGGGTTCGATACCAGCTCTGGCCTTCCTGTGTGGAGTTTATCTCTCTTCCCCTGGCCTGTGTGGGTTTTCTCCGGGTGCTCCAGTTTCCTCCCGCATGCCCAAAACACGCATGGCCGGTTGATTGAACACTTTAAATTGCCCCTAGGTGTGATTGTGATTGCGAATGGTTGTTCGTCTCATGTGTTGGTGCTTACTGAGTAAAACAAAATGCTAAGCTAATTTCTTGAAAAGATGACATAACCAATACCAAGTAGCAAATTTCCAACCTAGCTTGCTTTCTCTCCGCTTCATGTAACGGTAACATACCTTTCTGCACGGTGGTAACGCCCATGGATGGCTGCCCCAGACTGGCCTTCGGCTCCCATTTGCCCTCATCTGGGTGAAAAACGTCCACTGACGCCAACGGGGTCTGTTGCTGATTCATTCCTCCCAGGACCATGACCTGCCCCCCTAGCGCCACGGCCGCAGCCCCCGCCCTCGCCGTTGGCAGCGGCGGCAACTGGCTCCACGTCTGGCTCTCCACATCAAGCACCTCCGCGCTGTCCAGGGGCATGCCGGTCTCACTGCAGCCCCCCAGCACATAGACCAGGCCTTCGTGATAGATGGGGGTGCAGTAGACTCTGCGCTGGGACATAGGGGGGAACTTCTCCCAGTATAGGGACTTGACAGGACTCACCGCCATCTCCTGCACGGGCATGTCTCCGAGACTGAGCGGTGGGGGGACACCATCACACACCAGGCTACAGGGAAAATAAAACAATTAGAATGGCTCTCACTCGTGCGCGCGACCTCCACCAAGGCTGAACAATCAGAAACTAGTCCGCCTGACTTGCGTGACTGATAAATCATGGCAAATCCAGACAATACTGCGCCACTATTACTGTAGGTGGCGGTAACGCACCCATGTTTAGCATCTGGTGCATCGTGACGCCACTTGGCACCAATTCAAGCGGACTGAAGTTTTCGAGTTGACCTTCAATTAGTGATACAACTTTTGAATGTTGAAATAATCCTGCTAAATGTAGTCATGGTGTAATTTAAATAAAGCTTTATTATCTAAATCTTGGGAGCTAGCTTTCATTTTAGTTACACCTTTCTGAATAGCGAACTTGTTTTAGCATGATATTGCTAACTGATCATGAGGTTTTGCTCATAATTGTGTTCATCAACTAGATGAACTCAACAGTGTCTCCCATCCTTTTGCATTACAAAAATGTAACGGCACACCACCAAACAAACAACAAAGATGTATCTTAGGGGCTCCAGATAAACTTTTTTTTTTTTTTTTTTGTAGGAGCACAGTCACCCCTAACTTAGAGAAACACATTTAGAGGCACATCGACCAGGAAAATAAATACTCCCATTTCCTGTTTTTTTATTCATAGTATTACAGACAAAGTGCAGCAACTCATCCCTGAGCAAAATTTCATGCCTTCCCATAACTTTCCTAGCATCACAATTTGGATTCATGATTGGGATTTGTCTCCTTTGGCACGCAACATTTATTGGGGAGAAAGTAAAAACTCTTTGTCATCATTCACAGGAGTTATATGAAGATTTGCACGATAACCCCAATAACGGCCTCTTTTAACACACTATGCGATTCACAGTAGGACTCTGTTATGTGGCCTGAAAATAAATCTCTTGTTCCGCCCACCCCTAAAATCCAAACGATTTGAATTGACTTTATTTCGCTTTTAAATACAAAGAAAAATCAAATGACAATGACAATATTAAAAAAAAATCAGCCGTGGCCATTTAACCCTTTCAGGGATAGCGGTTACTACAGTCGACAGGTTATCATGTTATCAGGTTACGGGTGCATGAAAGGGTTAAACACAACCCTTAATACATTTTAATGAAGCATTTCAGATGCGCAACAATGCAAAGCCAAAAAATATTCCCTTTGGGATGTATATGTCGCAACGAAAGTGAACAGAATGTGAACGAAAAGGTACAGCTTCCAATCAAAATGAACCCTTTCCCGTGAAAATGTCCACAACATTCTTATTTTGCATTCCTGATACATGCCGGGGAGGTTGCCTGATTTTAATGAATGACATTTTTTTGGAGGAGGACAAGTAAAATAAAACATATCATAGTCACAATGTCACCGCTACAGCAAAACTATTTTCTGTTTGCTTCTTTTCGCGCTGCGTAATCATTGGTAGAAAAGAAAAACAAAGTATTGCATGCACAAAATAAATATTTCAGAAAAAAAAACAAACTCGATATATATATATATATATATATATATATATATATAGAGCACTGTTGAGAAAATTGAATGTTTTTAAGTGCAACTTATAGTGCGGAAAATACAGTCGATCACTAAACATGACATTTTAAGTTTGACAAAGGTTGCACGTTGGCATCCAGGAGAGGGAGCGTCGGATAGGTGGACGAATGTGGAGGCGAGAGTGGTGGAGGTAAAAAAGAAAAAAAAAAGGCGTGGCACTCACCCTTCTTCCAGATGTCACGTCTCCCCTTATTTAAATGTTTTATTCATTCGGCTGTTGGTTTGCGAACAGCAAAGCCATCTGCTCTTCACAACTTTTTTTTTTCCACCTTTTCCCTCGCCGTGTCCTTCCCTCAGTGTGTCCTGCGAGGAGCTTATTTGGACTTGGACATATACTTCAGGCTGAACAACTCATCCCGTAAAAATCTTAAGCAGCAACCAATCTTTAAAAAAAAAAAAAAGAATTAAGGAGGGTAAATGATCCAGAGCCTAAAATGAAAACTTCACAAGAGCAAAAGCAAAAGCTATTCCTGCCTTAATTAAGCAACGTCTCCATCGCCTGGAGGAATATACTCTGAGTCAGAAGAGCAGATGCACGCAAGAGCTTTGGAGAAGGTCCCTCGTTGAGGCCCAAACTGCAAGAAAACACAGAGACATGGTTTTTAAATGACGAGTCACAGGATAAAAAAGAAAAAAAAATGTCGGAAAACGAGGTGGCAAAACATCCCATGACAGATTTGAAGGCTGCACGAAAGGACGATGGGCGTGGTTCCGCTGGATGCAAATGGATTCCAATTTCACAAACACAAATGACCTTCAGACATCCTACACTGCTGATCACGCCCCCGTGGATGCGGTTCCTAAGGCAACGTATGAACCGTTGTTTGCTTGTAAGGTACGGGCCACTTGAGATATTTGCCACATTCAGCTGAGCCGTGTTCAAAACAGATTCAGCGACATTTTTTTCCCCCCCAGTGCAAAATATTTTGCTTCGATGGAGCAGTCGGAGCAAGTGACACCGGAACACCAAACGCTCACTCCTTGCTGTTGTTTAAGATCACGTGAAAGATACAATTCAAAATGAAAAGACGGATGCCGGCGCCAGTTAACATTCTTCTTGAAATCGGTGAAATAACATATTCATTTTTTTCAGTTCAATGTGTTCTTAAGGTGAGAAGCTCGGTCACCCGGGAGGGGCTCAGAGTCTAGCCGGTTCTCCTCCATGTCTGGAGGAGCCAGATGAGGTGGCTCGGGCATCTGATTAGAATGTTTCCTGGACGCCTTCCTGTTGAGGTGTTCCAGGCCTGTCCCACTAGGAGGAGACCCCGGGGATGACTCAGGACACGCTGGAGAGACAATGTCTCCCAGCTGGCCTGGGAACGCCTCAGGATTCCCCGGGAAGAGCTGGAAGAAGTGGCTGGGGGGAGGGAAGTCTGGGCTTCCCTGCTAAAGCTGCTGCCCTCGCGACCCGACCCTGGATAAGTGGTAGAAAATGGATGTATGGATGGTGTTGTTATGTTTCTTATGTATGAGGGACTTGCAGGTTTTTGAATCGTCCATTCATCTTGAAACTTGAGTTTGAGTTTTGTTTTTCACGTCGCTTTCCTCACCGCGTGTTGAATCGCTGACAACTGCCGCTTCCGCCTCCACGTCAAACGGCATGTCTGAAATTGCAACTTGTTGCAATGCTGTCCAGACCAAATGTGGTTGTTTGATGCTGTGCTTCGCGCAATGTTTTGCCTTTAACAAGGCAGACGTTACAAGCTACCAAATGTTGAAAATGGCACAGAGCGGACGAGGCAGGTGCAGATGAGTGTCGAAAGCTTGAGGGAAAAAAAAAAAAAGCACCAATTCTGCTTTTCCTCTTTAGGACCGTTGGGCATGACTTTGGGAAAGTTACAAGAATGAAATGATTGCCTCCTAATTCAGTGTGAGCAGAGGTGAGGTGGGAGAAGCTCTTGACTCTCGGGTCTTGTTCGGTGATGAAACACTGCAATTGTTACAGTGAGTTGATTTAAAGAAGAAAAACATTTACTGCATGGCTACAGTATGCGCTCTGTTCAGCAACTTGGGTTTGTACAACTGCAGAAGTGTTTGGAATTCAAACTTTATCCAGAATAAAATGCTGACAGTGTCATTTGATAAACATCCTTGCCAACCAACGTGAGACTTTTTGAAGACAAAGAAATCAAGTCAGTGACCTGACCTTAGGTGAACACACGCTGTGTTTTCCAACCTTGACTGAGCAAAAGGCAGGCGAAGTTGATCCATCAGCCTTCATCCCCAAGGTTTCCCTCCTTTTATTTTTTCAAACTTTCACCCTCATGATCCATCTTTTATTTTCCTCCCTCACTCTTCCATACTCCTTCCTTTCATCTATCCGTCCCTTGTGTCCACCAATTTCTCACCTATCCACTCTACTCGACATTCCATTTGTCCAGATTGCAAACAGATTTTTCCCTCTTGAACTTCCTTGGCTGCTTTGTCAATGACTTAAGTGCGGGCTGAACTCCTGTTGGCGGCACAATGGCCGACTGGTTAGCACAAATCGGCCTCACAGTGCAGAGGTTCAGCTCCGGCCTTCCTGTGTGGAGTTTGCATGTTCTCCCCGTGCCTGTGTGGGTTTTCTCCGGGTACTCGGGTGTCCCCAGCCTATGGCCAGAAGACATCTGGGATAGGCTCCAGCACGCCCCGCGACCCTTGTGAGGATAAAGTGGTTCAGAAAATGGATGGATGGATGAACTCCTGTTCATCACTTTGCGCTTATTCACATGGGTCATAACGTCCACTCATTTAAATTTTTTCTGCCCTTATCTGACTTTTTTTTTCCATCATTGTGAAGTGTACAATGATGCTTTTTTTGTTTGTTTTTAATTCAGATTTGACCCAGGCCTCCTCCATATGTGGATATAAATTGAATATAGACCCAACATGAATGCAGGTCATGCTCATCCCACCTATGTGTCCTCAAAAGTCAACAAACGTCATAATTGTTGGACAAAAAAATGGTTTGACTCAGTGGAATCTGGATCTGTTCAAAGATTTTCAAACATCGATTAAAAATGCATCCTTCCATCTTTTTAAACATCATTGGCATTTGTAAAAATTTGTATAAATACATAAAAACGCCAATTGTCCAAATACAATTAAAGTCTTAGAATTAAAGGATGCACGACCTTTTCATTCAGCTCATTCATTCATACGACATTTTTGCAAGCACAAATGCTCTCACAGTGAACCATATTTAGATGAGCAAGAGTAAGTAAAAAGTAAAACGGTAACATGTTCAGGCTGATAATGATCTCTTAAGAGTGCTTCCTTCTGCCGTCAGCCCTCCCTGATCCTCATACAGTATGTAGCCGTTTTCTGGCAACCGCACGATTACATGAAAGAGGTCTTTGTGAATAGGAAGCAAGCACCCCTGAAAAGGCAAAGTACACACACTTATATTCACAAAAAGAAGCTTAGAGATTTAGAAAAGAGGTCGAGCTATTTTGAGGTGCCCATGAAGTTTTGCGGGGCTAAATTTAAAAGCGGGAGTGAAAGCTTTCGGCTGAATGACTGCACAACAGGATGCAGAAGAACGAAAAAGAAATTATATTAAAAACAATTCTTGGAATTGTCAGCACAATGCCCCGACTTGTAGATTACTGGTGGACTTCCCCATTCTGTGGGCTCATTGTCTTTTTCCTCCAGGAACCAACAGATGTGATGAAAATGATCAGTGGCCAATAGAACACAACGCAAAGTTCACAAACACAGCCTCCTTATCAGAATTAAGACCAAAACAGTTCCCTGTCACACAAATGTAAAAAGAATAGTGTCTCCAAGAAATAGTGCACAGACATCTTTGAGAGGCCAAGTCAGCATCTGACTCATGGCGGCAGATCTCCTCTCCAAATAGGAAGTGGAGCATACTCATGAGACGTGTTGTGGAACAAAAAGGTCAAATATGTTTATATTTCACTTCTCACAACACAAAGCTGGAGAGTCTCTGCAAACTGAAAAAACAAAGCGGCTTGGGAAAGATCCACGTGGTTGGTCCACCCCGGGTGAATACTTTGGTTTTATTTTCTTTAATGTATTAACTCGTTTACGGTGGTTCATCATGATGGCTGCTTTCAACCCAATACGTCGATCCCAAACTTGATAATTGCTACTATGACCTTACTACTCCTTTCTGTTTGCTACAATCCACATCCGGAATTGAAGTTCATGCCTCTCCTGAGACTTTCGAGAAACGTTCACTTCTTGACTTTGATCAGCTTGAGCTTCATGTATTTCAACGCAAAAAGAAGTCAGTGCCGGACTTTATCGCCAGACCAGAGTACTGGTACATATGTTGCCCCCTTTGAATTCAACTAGAAAACAGTGAGCCATCCCCACTGAGCAGTCATGGACTCGAAAAATCTGCAAAATCCTCAAAATATTACCTCATTGCTCTGCTCCATGAATATTCTTCAAAATCAACAGGGTTCTTTCTTTGACTGAACAAAAGTAGAAAGATCACCTCAAAATCGTGCCTTGTGACAAATCACAAATTGGACTTTGGGTGGATTTTTTTCCGACTGGATGTCATCCAAAAATCTGACGTGGTGGCACTGCACAGTTATTGCTGAAGCGGTTCGGAAAATGGATGGATGGATGGATGAACAAAAAAAATATACTGAAAAAGTCAAATCATACAAGACAGTGACAGCTTCTGGCTTCTTCTCTAGAATCACATTACACAACACATCACGTTAAAACACAGAAAAAAAAAAGCAGCAAAATGATGTGGTGAGCGAGTCTGGTTGCCATGCAAACATACGCATTCACCTCCACCCACATGAAGAAAAGGCCTCACTGAGAGCACTAATGAGAATTGTTTTTCTTTCTTTACTCTTCATGCTGTCATCACCCAGTAGCATCACTACATCTCGTTTGATATGAAGCACTTGATTTCATCTTTTATCAGGACTTTTCATCACCTACAGTATGTGGCTTGAGTAGAAAGAAAAGAAAAAAAAAAGCAGTTGTGCTGACTTGCGTTACATAATTCACCAGTTCAAAGCATGATCGCACTGGTGTGCTTTGGGAGATTTGTGTTATGAGGATGTTGGCATGACTCGGTCTGCCAAAGATTGCCGCAAGCAGCTGCATAGCGTCTGCTACTAACGGCGCCCACATCATTCCAAAAGGTATTTTCGAACAGGAGAGGGAACCTTGTCACCATCATCTGGATTGCTTCCACGGTGACAGGCCCAAGTGGAAGAGAAGCATGACAGGACATTCGCCATCTGCTTTCTGAGTGACCCTTTTCCAACTTTCTGCCACAGGTTGACTGTGACCATGGAAACCACTGAAATACCACCAAAGGGGTGAAAGATCCTGGAGCAACTCTTAAAACCATTTCAGAAAATACAGACAAAAAAAACCCCCAACTAATACTGTAGCTTGTGGTGAATTTTAAACTGCTCTAAAGGTTGAGCCGGGGAGAAGGAATACGCCAAACGTGTGTAACTAATAATGTGACATGTTGAATAGCAACAACCTGTCGGAATGCGCTCCATGATCAAATTTGGCAGAGGCTGGGCAGTTTGTTCCCTATAGGCAGCATAACCCTGATGGGGGGGGGGGGGAACCATTGTCCTCA